GGAGTTTCACGAAGGCTCTCTCAGGAGTGTCACGGAACCAACGTGAACTGAGCCAAGGTTTCATGCACAGGGAAGATGATGGTCCACATCAGGATAAGCAGGAATTGAGAAGGTCAGATACGGGACCTGTCCCCTGTAGAGTGTACAAGCTCTGATCTGACTCCAGAACGGGGGGACTGGCTGGGTCAAGACGGGGGCGGAGAATAGGACATGGGACCTTTCCCCTCTAGGGGTCGCTGGCTCCAATACCAGCTTTTCTATAGGTTTTTTGCATGGTTTACAGAGAAAATCTGATCCCTGCTCTAGAATCCAATAGGATAGTCAAAAAACTCCCAGAGATACACAGGAGTTTTATCTCAACATCTACGAACTCCTTCCCCCGCCCCCAATCCAGGAGCTGGTATCAGGGTGATCACAGCCGCACCCTTGTCTATCTCACACACAGGGAGGATCAGGGCATGTTATCTCACCCAGCACTGATAGTGATTAGTGTAACCCACAGCCTACACCCGGGGCAGGAGGAGGCAGGGCTCCTTGGTCCAAGTGGTTCAATAGCTGGAAACAAACCTGTAGCCCCTGGCATGGGCAGGTGAAGGGAGCTCTTGTTATGCTTATAAGAAGCACATGGAATCTTTTTCAAGGGGATAAGGCAATACGCTGCGTTTATTGAGAGAACAAATTAAGCACTAAAATCAGCACATGCTTCAATTCTCACACACACCCACACACACACATCAATGGATCTTATAGTTACCAGTCCTTAGCGCTGCTCATTCAGTTTCTGTGGCCAACTGAAACTGCAAACGAGGGAGGGGAGCTGGGGCCTCTGTCAAACGCATTCGAAGCTCCGGTGTTGACGCAGAACAAACCCAAAGTCCCATGGCCATACACCCTTCTTTTATAGCAATAAATTCCCCTGCAAGTCTATGGGACCTGCTGTGTCACACTGCAGTCGTTAATCACAAACGGGTGCCCGGGGGGCTCTGGATTTGCCGCACGCTGGGGCTGGGGCCTCTGTCAAATCAGCATTAATTTGGGTTGTTTTCCGCAGCTGTTTTTTATCTCGTCTCTCTGGCTCCACTCTTTATCTTATCCTGGGGCGTGGGGGGATGTGCCTCTGCTTTAGGGTCGTCAATCTGCCCTTCTTCAGTCCTTCTGATAATTAGGGTGGCAACTCTCAATTCCTTCACTCCCCTCTTGACCATCTGGCTCATCTGGTACTGGTGCCTCCTGTCTCTATCTGTTAGCATGCCATACATTCTTCACTCACACACAAAACAGTAAATAATTTAAAAAGAAAGAATTACAGCCATAACACTTCTATCCTTCTAAAAACAATCATTAACTCATAAAGCAAAGAATAAAACCAAAACAACTTCTCCTTACTAATTCACAACACATCATATCATATACTAACAAAAATTAGAATAATTATCACTTAAAACAATTTTCAAGGTTAGGCTTTCAGACCTACACTCTAGGGTTGCTTGGCTGTTCTCTGTGTGTTTCTAATGGCGTCGGGCTGGAGGATTCAGGGTGGCTTTCCCAGGTCTGTCTTTGGTGTTTCCATTTTCATGGACAGTAGCGGGGAACTGCTCACGATAATGGTAATAGCACCCAGTTCTTCGGGACTGTCCGTCATGCATAGGCCTTACATCACAGATGTCATTCTCCCCATAGGGTATGGGGGAAAACTGAGGCACAAGGAGAGACAGGAGATGCTCACATCCCGCCAGCAGGCCAGGGTCAGAGTCTTTCCAACAGGCTCTTTGGAGCCACCCTTCGGCCTGTGAAAGTAGAACGAATTATATTATAAAAATAGAATGGATTAAAGAAATGTTGTATGTACCTTTAAGCAGAAATAAGGAATGCTGAAATACAGGTGTCAGGAAAAGGAACATTAAGACATAAACAATGAGTCCGCTTAAGCTAATGGTGGAACATCAGCCGGAGATCTGTAAAAGTTAGTAAGAAAATTGAATATGTACGTCTAGTCTTGGGTAAACTTGTCAGTTCTGCTTTCTTTGTCCTCTTGTTAAGTTCGCGCCCTTTTTATCTATATAAAATAAGGTAGTGTGGGTCTTGGATGGTGCTCACATTATCTGGGTGTTATTAGCAGAGCGCTGTGCTAATAAAACAGAGTGGTCTGACAAACTGTGAGTCCTGAGTCTAACTTTGACAGGCCATTAGCAGGGAATACTTGGCTGGGTCCCAAAGCTCTACAAAAGGTTTACAGGTTTCCAGATTTCTCTCCATGCGGGGGAGGAATGTGTAGATCCTCATGTGTAGATCCCATTGGGATCTATTATGGAGATGATGCCCTGGGCCGCACCGTCACACACGAGAATTGCCCTTTCAGTAACCAGACCCAGAAGGCTATTGACCATTTCTTCACTGCAGCCTTTTCACCAAAGATCCCGGGTTACTTGATTTATGAATTAAGGCCGGACGTTTTCCAGACCGTCCCTTGTAGTGCTCACACGTCCATGGCTGGGCCACCCGTGCCCTGCATATGCAGGCTGTGCTAGACCTGAATAAATCACCCCTGCTCAACACCATGCAGGGGCACTGCCATGATCAATAATTAGTCTCAGGCTGAATTTTACCCTGCCTGGGGTTTTACCGGGGGTGGCCCACGGGGGACCTGGGGCAGGGGACCTGGGTGGTGCTGGGGGGCCAGTGCTCTCCAGAAGATCAGAGTAGATGATCTACTGGTCCCTT